TAATGTGTTTTTTTTCCAGTGCTCGATATCGGGACTTTAAGGATCATAACAGCGCGAACTCCAGAATTTCGCTTTTACGAGGATAACCTGCACGAAGAAAATGCCGTACATAAAATTACAGGAAAGATACTATTGAACGACTTTCCCTCATGAAAGAAAAATGCGGCGGTAGATTAAGAGTTTCGATTGAAATATGCATTTCTTTTCTGGTTGTCATATCACTATGGAAACAAAAAAGAAAAAAATTAACAACACTAGCTTAAGCGGCTCTGGAAAATATTTTTCTATTATGAAAAGGATAGTTGGAAAAAAGTGCATTTTATCTCTGATGTAATTCACTTCTGATAAAAAGGGGCATGTCGGTTGATTATATTTAAGCTAATTAGAGAGTGAAGAATCCACACACGTGCAGCAAAGTATCTAAGATTCTCATTCAACTTACTAATAGTATTGATACTTCAAGACTACCTATAGCATAATGTGTAGTGATGACTAATTTGACGACAAATCTATAAAATTTTGCACTCTTCTCGCTGAGAGGGTTGGTGATGAAATATTGCTTTAAATTTCTCCTCGCCACCTGCCTGTTAATCCTCAACAATCTGTATCTATGAGATGCCAAGAGAACCAATTAAAATTTAAAGAGAGAAAACTTAACATGAACAATCAATGAGACAGCTTTCAATCAGAATTAGTCTAACTACACTCCAAGTTGCCAAATGTTGTTTCTTGTTTTTTATTTTTTTTTTAAAATTTTTTTCTCCAAAAAATTAAACGTAAAAAAGAATTAGGCAGGCGTAACGTAATTGCATCGATTCCAGTTAAACTCGCGTCATTTGGAACCTCCAAGCGTTTTCAATTTTAAATAAAATCATACATAAAATCCACACTTTGGATTAATAAATAAATAAAATGTATCCGTCCAGCAAAAAGCAGTGGATGTTGATGTCTTGATTTTATTACGATTTCTGAAGTAAATCAAAAATGAATTCCTCTCAGAAAAATTTATGAGGTCTCTCTTTAAAGGAACAACTTTTTATGAAGAAAAATTCGTGGCTCATTGAAAAAAAAAATCTATAAAATAGAGGGGAAAGGGAAATTTTGAAAGGAACATCCCTGGGTGGATAGTAAAAATCAAAATGACTTAAATAAAACATAAGTAATTAGATGAAACTGAACAAAACAGCAAACACTCATACCTCTTTTATTTACATAATTATTAACACGTGGGTTGTTCCTTCGTGCTTTAAAGTGAGTCTCATGTGCCACGAATCCTTGTTCGAAGCTCGTATAGATGCAATGTTATACAAAGCTATGAAACTTGGAGGCGAATAAATATTCAAGATAAAATGCTTGCGTAATTTGTTTTATCTTATCGTTAACAATACAAATGCACCGACACTATCGCAAAAGTTCAACATAGTTTAAAGCTATGCGTGTAGTAACTTTTTTACCTGTCAAGTAGAGGTGTTAGATATCAAGTATAGGGGACCCTAGAAGACTCTGCACTTAGATTCTCGAGCTCTCACTCTTGAAACTACTTGCAACTGCACATGAGTAGCAACACATGCAGAAATATCGTTCCTATGTATAATCTGAGAGAATAACAATCATCTATACCATATCTATACTATAAGCTCCAAGACCTCCTAATTTTGCGAAACTGGTAACGCTTAGTTCCAGCGTTCTACCGGGCCGATTTTCATGATTTTTGCGGCTATCGACGGGCAATTGTCTCTCGATAAGCCAACTTTTTTCAGATTTTCAAAATATGGCCCAGGTTTTTTTATATTCCGTGGTAAAGTTGCGGATTCTCCTATTTAAACAATATAAATTTATACTTTTTGTCATAGTTCGTTTGAGCGTTCTACCGGGCCGATTTCCATGATTTTTGCGTAAATCGACAGGTAATAGGCCCTAGATGAGCCCGCTGTAATCAGATTTTGGAAAAAGGACCCAGGTTTTTTTAAAATCACGTTATAAAAGTGAGTGAGTTTACAGAATGCTCGGGTACTGCTACCGCTATGCGCGGGAGGATGCGCGGTGGTCGAGGAGGTTGCGCAGTAGCTGTGTAGCCTGCGCATCAGCTCTACACTTATCTACACAAGATTCGCACTAAGGACATCACGTCAAGCGATGGCCGAGTCGTCTAAGACGTCGAATGCGTCCACATTGAGAACTCGGTATGGGTTCGATCCCCGACTCATGAAATCTTCAGTATTATTGTTTTACAGCAATATTTCATCAAGCAGTCAATCCAAAACGCGTCCTTTTAATTTTAAAGTAATTTTAAGTAAAGTTTAAAATTAAAGTATACCTCATTTCGTAATTTTTTAGGAGAAAAATAAAACTAACACTGATAGGAGGGTAAAAATAGGGCCGCGGATGGCGCGGAGCGCCTTCAGGGGGTTGGGCCGCGTAGCGGCCAGGGGGCGTAGCCCCCTAGTAATCAAATACCCACTGACAGGGCCGGATTTATCTACTTGCCGGCCGCCTGCATTTTGCCGCCCCCTTCTCATTCGTTTTGAAACATCAATAAAAACCATCAAAAGAACATGCCGGAGGGGGAGAGGTGTGTAAGACGCGTTTACCTACTCGTGTTGGATACATTTTTTGCGAAAGCCCTGTCAACACTACTAGTAAAATTTCACGGAATTTTGCGCGAAAGTTAAGTTCCGTAAACCTGTCTCTGTGTGGACAAGGTCCTCCATTTATAAGAAATGAACCAACAAATTATGAAAGAACAAACATAAATGTAGTTGAAAAATTTTAACTTATTCCGCCGCCGCTGCGCCTGCGCCGCGCTGATAGCACTGTGTTTGGCGCAATGCGTGAAGTATTCCTGCAGTCTTGTAGGCGCTATGCGTTTCACGCCAACCGCTCCTGACTGCACTATGTGTTTGACGCAATGGGTGAAGTATTCATGCAGTCTTGTAGGCGCTAATATGCGTTACATGTCGACCGCCGCGCCTCGCCGAGGGCTTGTCCTTTTCTTTTCAAGTCCGCGTCATTATTCCTCTCTGCGCTGAGCTCCAGGCCAAATTGCGTGTTTAGTTCCTTTCTTAACTCGACTAATTTATTAAAGATGCCATGTTTCTTGTATCGCCGAAAAACGAAAAAAATCGAAATTACTATACTCTCAGGAAAGAGAGATTTTGACCCCTTTTCTCATTGATATTTTTTTTTCTGAATCCGATTTTTTCTATACCTACATTATAAAAAATTGCAAAATTTGCCGCCATGGGCCGCGGCCCATGTGGCCACCCCCTTAATTCGGCCCTGCCCACTATCCCATTTTTCTAAGACCGTCTGTAGATCCGGGGTGAAAGATTTTAGGATCATAATGTCGTTCCTTAGACGCTAGTGCGTATCTTGATTTCACATGGACGTATAAATGGAAACGCTAAATACGCTAAATGGAACTATATGTATGTGCAGGTAGAAAGATGGGGTGTGCTTGTTAGTGATCGGACCATAAGAATGAATGGGAAATATAAAACGCCAGTGACGTCAGCGGCGACGAAGCCGCCCGCCTCGATCGCTCCCGTCCGCGTGTGTCCCCATTAACTCATGAGCCCTGTGCACAAGGCACTCGTCACATATCCACAGCTCACGAGTCAGTGCTCAGTTCCTTTCGATTTAATGTCAAATCCCGCATTTCCATTTTCTCAAAAGGAACTATATCCACTCGTACATTGTTTCTTATGCAGCCTCCACGAGCACACCCCATCTTTCCACTTGCTCATAGTTCCTTTTGGCATAAATACTTGGACGCTGCACGCCCTAGAGGCCGCCTCGCGGCCAGCGAGATCGTCGAAATCGCCCGTTGGCGATTAATGAGCAAATAATTTTAATTGAATAAAAAAACGACGTTTCCTAGAAAAATTTCCCGCCAAACAATATTCTTCATGACTTCCTTACCTTAAATTTTGATGATTTTTTTTTAAGGTAGACCTTGGCAAGGCTACATATAGCTATCATGACTTAAGAAAGACCTCTGAAAGTAAGGACCCACTCTACTAAAACTATGACCTTTAAACTCCTTACCCTCACTCAAAGCCCATCGAGTGGTCGTACTCCCCTTCCTCACCACGTCCATCGAGCGTCTTAAAAATGATTTTATCAGAATAGAGAGGCTTTTAAGCAACATCAGTCTCCTCTGAAAAATAAGCACGCACCTGTAGGAATTGCTTGAAGCGAAGTATCTAGAGTACCATATACATACAACTACTACGCATGGAATATGGAATGACAATAATTTTCTAAGGTCAAATACATCCCTCTGATTACTCGCAAATATGAGCATTCAGCATCTGTATCTCTCCAAGATGTTTACTGTTTACTCAATGTGAATATTCACTAAACGCTGAAAATAGCGTTTTCGTCATCTTATATAATAGGTAAAGAAGAGAGTGAGCCAGGCAGAACTCCATTTTTTGCGCCATTATGTGTAACTTAACGTTTTTCCGACATAATTTTTCGACCACATTCATTGCATAACTGAGATAAAAGCTTTCACTTTGAGTACTGCATATTTCGAGTGGAAGATTCCGAAGATTTCTGGCCCAGTGCTAAATATTACGTAAAAGAAATGGTATCGAAAATCTGCGTTTTTTGCTCATGATGCATTGCTCATTTTGCATTGGACGTATTTATGCTAAAAGAAACCATGTCACACGCAAACCCTATATTCACATAGTTCCTTTTAGCATAAACACGTCCAATTGAGGCGTTGAGTGCCCAATATATTGGGATGAAGTAATTTTGAATCTCAGATTCTGAGGGGACACTAATCTATTTTGCAGCTTGCATAAAAACATAAGACACCAATTTTTTTTCAAAATTTAAAATTTTTGGGAATCAATTTTTCAAAAAGAAACATTGAATGATTTGCCAAAATCATGCCACAGAGGCAAGATTCAATTTTTAAAAACCCCATAAATACGTTGTTAAGAATTCGTCACGCAATGCCATTTAACTCGATCTATTTTTTTCCTAAGGGCAACATACATTTGAATCATGCAAGAGGGCGATCTGTACTCGGACTTCAACAAATCCAATCCGAATAAATTCAGAGACATCCAGGAGCTATTGGCAGACCACAAGTCATTATTTCGATGGTTCTCGGAGGAGGTGGTGCTCGACGTGGGATGTGGACCGGGTGACGTCACTCGTCACGTTCTCTATCCGTGGCTCCCGGAAAACGCAAACAAGACCGTGCTCGGAGTAGACGTTTCTCCCGTCATGAAGGACTTGGGCAATAAAAAGTTCGGTCATCCCGACGTTTTCTTCGAGACCTTCGACGTTTCTGGCAAAAACTTGGCTGTCATTACAGAGGACGAGAAGTTTAGAGACGGCTTCACGAAGATATTCTCATTTCACGTCTTCCACTGGATCAATGATCTCGAGTAAGTATGACGTATTTTAATACATTCTAGGGCTGATTTGTGTATTGGGGACGGGAGGGAGGGGGATACTCTCCCTGGCCGCTACCCATGGGACGGAAGAGGGGGCTGGTCTTAATGAGTTATCGTAAATAAAGAGGACTCATCTAAGGACCAACTCCTACACTGAAAAAAAACACACATTGGATCTAGAGTCCAGACTCTTAAAAACATCGACAAGAAAAAGTACTCTTGATTCAATCAGAATCTAGCTTAAATCAAGAACCAAGCCGCTTAATTTAAGCGGATTTCGTTTTGATTCAAGCAAAAATCCGATTGAATCAAAAGTATTTTTTCTTGTCAATGTTTTCAAGAGTCTGGACTCTAGATTAAATGTGTTTTTTTTTCCAGTGTATCGATAGCTGCAAAAGTTATACGAATTGGACCAGTATGGATCTTTACAACAAATTGTGGAAAAAAATGAAAATTTACTTTGTTCGAATGGGAAACAAAATTTCAGCGCGTAGCAAACAATATCCTGGGTAGCATTCCCGAAAGCTGAACCAGTGAGCAAAGCGGGCTTATCTAGAAGCTGGTGATAGCCACCAGAATCATGAAAACCGACCTTGAGGATGTGGAACGCTAAAACAAACTGTGACAAAAAATAAAAATGTACGTGGTCAGTGAGTCATAGTTAGAGTGTGTGTCCTCTTGTCTGGTAAATATACAGGGTGATCCAGGGTTAAATGGTCAGACTGCAGGAGCGTGTTTCATGAGTCAAAAGAAAACTTTTTTGCGGTGTAAAGTTTTTTCCAAAAGTGTCCCCAGTCACAGCTACGCCCCTCCCAAAAAAATTTCGGAAAGTAAATAGTTTTTCCTGAATTTTGGCAATAGTTGTGAACCAAATCTCATGAAAATTTGAACTTCCCTGTATGCTTTTATGCCCTAAATTAATAAATGTTCAAAAAAATCGAAATCTCAATTTAAAGAGGGCGTTTGGGGGTGTTTCGGCTCCTGTAGTCTGACCGTTTAACCCTGGATCACCTTGTATACATAATTTTTTTTTACCGTGCTACATTTTAATTTCCTTTCTTCACTTCTCCTCTTTCTTCCTCTCCCTCTCCTGACTATACTCTTAATTCTCTTTCACGGAGAAAAAAGCTTTGTGCATGGGACCCGAAGTTGAGGTCATATGGATCTCTGAAGTTTTCTGATCACGCATCCGAAAACTTGAGGTCGAGCTGCCGAAGTTCAGGTCAGACATCGAGGCACTTCGGTATGTACCGGAGTACTTCAGAAGTGTGACCCGAACCCTTCGGTGTACATCGAAGTACTTCAGATGTCTGACTCGAACTTCGGCAGCTCGACCTCAAGTTTTTTAGATACGTGATCCGAAAACTTCAGAGATCCATATGACCTCACAGGTCCCACGCACGAAGTTTTTTTCTCCGTGTTGAACTTTTTATTCTTCTGTCTCATTTTTTCCAAATTTTGAAAAGTTGAAAATCCTGGAAAATAATTGACAGTTTTATTTTACTCACAGAAGGGAAGAAGATTTGCGTACCCTCATTTCCTTTATGGATACAACTTGCTTTAAAAACAAACAAACAAACATAAATCAGCTTTATGGGTCGAAGAACATACTTTAAGTTTTCTGCCAGGGGTTCATGCTTCTAAAAAGATTGTTTCTTTGCTCTGTTTTTTCTTTCATCATGGTTTAAAATAAATGACTATTAGTTATCGGCACATCAAAGCGAAGAAAAACCGTGAGCGCTAAGAAAGGTGATGTTTTAGACAAGAGCCAGAGCCGTTTCTTATATTGTTTTGATACGTCTTCATTTCATTTTTATCTAAAACATGTGATAAGCATCATTCGTAGAAAATGTCAAAACATTCCAGTCCCCTTCCTCTTTGCGTCCACAAGTCCTTTGCCCAGGTAAAGAAGGTCAAATCAAAACTCGAAACGGATGCCAGCGCTGGCGCCACTCTGTCTGGCGAGTCTGATATCTTTACTTACATTGTTCTTCCGCTCGATCTACTCAGGAATTCAAGATAACGCCCGGCGCATGGCGCTATCGGTATTCAGTTTCGTGTTTTGTCCACTCCGCTTCATCCCCCTGACCTACTTCTTACATTAACTACTGTAAACTGTCTTTATACGGTAAGACACTGAGCATTAAATTGTAGCTTAATTAGACATATTTTTTCCCCCTTCACAGACTGGCTTTTCAGAACGTGTATAAACTCCTGAAACCTAGCGGTCAAGTTCTTCTCACTTTTCCCATCAGTAGGCAATATCAAAGGTTATACAAGCAAATGCAAGAAAAAGAACCTTGGTCAACAATTTTGAAGGTACGTATGTACATATTTACAGGTTACCTCGGGCCTGCTCGATTGTCATTGTTAAAATGTTGTTGAAGAAAAACTTATCGATTTTTTTGAGAGATATAGTAAAATAAAAATGACTCGAGTTTATAGCGCCAGGTGTGAAAATTATTTCATCATGGGTCCTTTGGATTTCCAAATTCCTAACTCCTATTGTTGAAAATAGTGGTTCAATGATTCCATGAAATGGACGTTTTTTTAGCAATTTAATATATACTTATGAAAGGATTTGAAATATTACGTGCCTAGTAACGCTACACCATATATAATGAACTGAATATCTCTTTTAGAACTCTCTTCGCAGACACTTATTTTACTCAATTATGTCAACATAGAGCTTTTTTTACTGATTACATTGAACATGGAGGTCAAAGAGAAGACTACTTTATTAACTCATAGATACCCAATTCAGGCCAATTTCACTCGAGGTTTGCTGAAAACACGTGCCCGGCGCGGGTGCATAAAGCCGGCACATACGAGCTTTAAATATAGTTTTACAGATATACACCGTAAAAAAAGAATCAGACATCAAATCAAGAAAAAGAAAAAAATCGAGTTTCAGGGAATTTTCTTGACAACTATACCAATTGAAATCCCAATCCGGGTCTAATTGACCCTATCTCTTCTGGGCGAGTCATAGTACCGGTGCATACGAGCTCCAAATATTGGTTTAGAAATACACCGTAAAAATAAAATGAGACCTTAAAGTAAAAAATAAGGAGAGACAAACTGAACATTAACACAGCCGAAGGTAGGAAAGGCGTAATCGGGCCTCACTTTTAAACCTTTTTTCCGAATCTGAGCGCAACTTCATTGGCAGCTCAGAAGTCAGCAAGCATTGCGAGTTTACGCCTCTCGCCATGGCGCCTTCAATTTTGCAAACGCAACGCGGACATCCATCAAGCACGAATAGTTGTATCTCTGCGCCGTCAACAACGCACGTTCTCTCCCTCATTCTTAGCGCGACAGGCAGCTTTATAAGTGGTTTGTTAATAAGTTAATGTCATCTTTTTGAGGCATTTATCTTAGGATTGTCTTTTATTTATAGGGTGCACACCGAGAAATCCCGAATTATTTCTTGAATGGTGACGCCACAACAGAGTTCTTGTCAATTGTGACGAAGGTAGGATTCAAAGTTGTCACCTGCAAGCTCATCACGACACACGACGAGTTCCCCAACATTGAGGCCCTGAAAAGTAAGTTGGCTCTCTTTTCATTTAGACGTATTTGAATCAAAAGGAACTTTGACCATTTTGACCTAAGGGGATTTATAAGAATACATGTATGGCAGGGCTCATGTGAAAATGGCCATAGTTCTTTTTGATTTAAATAGGTCTATTTTATCGTCATTATAGATTTATCATGGTTTTTCAAAAAACTAGTATACACGTTGGAATGCCAACAAAAAACTCACTGGAAAAAAAACACATTGGATCTAGAGTCCAGACTCTTGAAAACATTGACAAGAAAAAATACTCTTGATTTAATCGGATTTTTGCTTGAATCAAAAGGAAATCCGCCTAAATTAAGAGGCTTGGTTCTTGATTTAAGCTAGATTCTGATGGAATCAAGAGGACTTTTTATTGTTGATGTTTTTAAGAGTCTGGACTCTAGATCCAATGTGTTTTTTTCCCAGTGCTTCGTAAGGCTCAATAGAACATGGGCTAGGTATATAGAAATTGTCATTTTGAGTCAAGAGACAAAATTTTATTTTACTGAATGAATGAATCTAAAAGATGAGAAAAAACAACATTATGAGTCAAAACGGTTGGTTATTATTACGTCTAGTATTGAAACAGAAATTGCTCTCCGCAAAGCATGGTGAATAATAACGTCACATAGTGTTGCAACAGGATTAGCGTCTCAGCCCTATTGCCCTAGCGAACACCTTGATAATCGATTCTTTACTACAGATTCTAATGGAGAAATATCGATAATCGATCATTCACGCCACGCCACTGATGAATACAATCCCTGACCAAACGCTTTGGATACACGAGTTCGAAGCTTATTTTGTCCCTTAAGTATGCGCGCCAAAAAACCACCAGACAGCTACTGAAAGTTTTAAAAGAAACTACTATCTATTATTGAAGCAGCACCCTGCAGCAAACTCAGTCCTGAATTTCAGATGATACAGATATGGAAATATAATTTGCACTGCTCTTGTTAATAAATCAACCTTTAAATTATCTTTACAGAACTCGTTGGCTCTTTGGACATCCACTTCAATAGAATACCGACCAGTATGCGAGGGCAGTACTTGGAGGAGTGCATCGAAATAATGAGGAAGAAGAATCTGAAAGAACTCGACAACGGCACCGTAGTGGTCACAGAGAAACGAATCACCGCTTTCATGGAGAAATAATACAGTTCCAGCCGGTAAATTATACCAGTGAACGTGTATGCAAAGTACCATGAAAGTATTTGGAGTAACCTCTCCAAATTTTATTGGACTTTGTGAGGGATTTTGTCAGTCGATGTCGGAGACCGCGCATTTTCCGCTTTTCTCATTAAAACGTCGAATCAATTGTCCGACAGTTGTGATCTTCGACTAGAGCTCCCTTTTGTCTCAGTTTTTATCATTTATTAGCCTCATTGGATTGGTTATAATACAGGAAAAAATAATTGTTGATTTCTACAAGATCGTATAAAACTTGTAACCGAGCAATGCTCTGTATGAATTATTACTTATAATGTATACTGTGAGTCAAATAGCCGAAATTTGAAAAGAAAATCAATAGAAAGCTCTAATCTTTGCTCCCAGTTTTTTGCAGTCATGCAAAGCTTGATAATTCGTTAGTTCTGTATCTTATTTTAGCATCATTGCTATTAATGCATTTTCTCCGCAAACATTTGTTATATTATATTTGATACTCTTTGATTTTTTTTTCAAGTCAGTGAACAAAAAAGAAAAAAAAAAAAAAAAAAAAAAAAAAAAAAAAAAACTAATCCATTGAGGCTAGCGTAAGGTTCTGTCAGGAGGACTTAGCATTGATGTGTCGATTTAATTTTAGAGCAAATTGAAAATTTTAATTTGTTGGTTGTTGTTTAACATGTTGGGTCAAAGCCGTTGTGCTCAATCAGTATTCCTCTAATTTAATTTTATGTGGAACAAGTTAATGTAGAAACATTATTTCAGCCTTAAAAATTTCAACAATACTCTGTTGAATAAGTTAACTAAATCACCAAAATATTTTCATTATTTGAATCTAATTTGCTCTCCGTCGTTGTGCATTTTAAAATTTAGCCTTAATACGTCACCAAAGCAGAATGATTAAAAATCAATAAATTTTGAAAAATAAAAACTGTTTTTAAAATGTTGAGGTCTAAAATGAATTCTTTCTTCTTCATTGTCTCGTTAAGGTTTTACACGAAGAAACGTTTTTTGAGTGAGTTGACTGTAGCGTAGCGCCTTCAGTGCCTTCATGCAACTATTCGTGTTTTACGGATATGCGTGTTGCATATTCAAAAATTGAAGGCGCTTTCGCTTTTATACTTCTCCAGAAGTCCAGAGATGTACGGGACTCGTTAGTCGTCGCACTATAACACAGAATACCTACATGGGGAGAGTCTATGACCAGTTAGTGACTTAAGACTAGAGTATCTTACACCCGTGTGATTATTCACGTTAGCCATGTTCCTTTGAAAATCTTTTCAGATTTCTTTAGATCTGTGATTATGTATGATAATAGAGCCAGGTATATTTTAACAAAGAAATTTCAACTGAGGGGTCACTTAAGCATTGCGCAAGGCATTTTGGCCGACTTTTATTACCCTTTTCCCCTCTTGTAGGACACATGGAAGACAAATGCTCACCCCAATTTTTTGATCACGTCAGATCAGCCTGCATCCACCTAATTTTTCAGAGAAAAATCAGAGAAAGCCTGAAAAGGATAAATTAATTTTATTGGAACATATTGTTGTTACTTTTGTTTTAAATTGGGTGGCTTACGTAAGATCAGGCTTGACCTCCCCCTCCTCCTCCCTCCTTTTAAAATATCGTAAATCTTCGAGTAGTTTACTTAAAACTTGAAAAGCCCCTGAGTACTTTTCAATCCCATAACTTGAAGCACGGAATGTTGAACGTAAACGTAAGTGCTGAATCGATATTCGGACTACATTTTGCAATTAGGAACTAAAATTTCTGGCTCGTCCGTGAAAACACTAATGTGCATAGGAAAACTGATGATACATACGTTGCTCCCAAACTGAGCCATCGATTGTAGTTCCTGATCGCAAAATGTGGTCCATTTTAAGTTCCGCGAGGGAATTCAAAACCCGTGCATCCGATGCAATACAGTAAAAGCTCGCAAGTCGAACTACGTTTAAGACGAAATGCTGATTAAGTCGAATTTTTTGTCGGTCCCTACACAAGTCTACTTAGCGAGCTGTCACTGTATTTCGATTAAGGTTTTAAAAGAGTACCAAGAAATTATAGTTTGTCGAAACATTAGTCTCGAGAAAATTAGTGACCAGCTATGGACAACTCAACATTGAAAAGAAAATGCGATTCACAGGAACCGCAGAGCAGGGTCCGAAGTTTCGATTTCGATTTTAAGGGGACAGAAAATTATTTATTTGACCTGATTCAGAATGATAACCACGAAGAGAATTTTCGGCAACCAAACGACGAACATTACATTTGCTGTCACACGCACAGTCCGACTGTGCATTCCAACCTAGTGCGCATGCGCACGAGCTCGACCGTCGGCAGTGGGTCACTGGTTCCATCCATTCATCCCGCGACAGACAAACTATGCGTATAACAACAGATTTACTACTGATCACCAACGTGCGCCTACGCGAGAAGGAAACCGACAATTTAGTCTCACGCACACGGCAAAGCGCTGAGGTGGACAGCAACAGCAGCTTGAAACAATCGTCCGTTGGCGGTTTGTTTTAAAAAAAAAGTTTTTCTTTTTTCGTGTTTCAGCTTTTTAGCTTGTTTCACGTTTTAATTTTTGCATTTTTGAGAATTTTACTTTTACAATTTTTATTTCCCATTTTTACGATTTTATCACACTTTGCTTAATATTCTTAAAAACAATTTGACATCATCGTATGGTGCGTTTGTGTGAGGTACTACGACTATATAATCACCCATCGGCAGAGTGAAAGACGTTACTAAATCTCGTGCTATTGTTGTGGTTGATTCGTCATATTTTGATCGAAACTTTTGTCGTGGGTCAAGTAAGTCGATTTTTTAGTACAGTTTATTTTTCCTGTATGCTTTTAATTGACTAGTTATTGTTGTTCTATTGACCGAAAAAAAGAAAAAAATCGAATATTTTAGGCAAAATTTATTGAGATGTTCGGTCATTCTTCAGATAAGGAATTACGCAGCTATACGCAACACGCAGCGTGCAGCGTATACGCAATAGTTATTGAAGGCCCCCATACGACCTTCAGATATTATTCTTGACTATAATAAAAACGTTCATTATAAATTATGGCATCATACACTTGACTACATTTGTTTTTCAGTGAAAAACGCCGAATTTAGAGGCTTAATTTAATTTTTTATTTATTTACTTTAATTATTAATATTTTTTTCAATGGAATGAAATTATAGAGCCATGCTATCTAGGTGAAAAAAACGGTTCTTGAATTATCATTTCTTTTGAGTGTTGTTATCCATAGCAAAAAATGTAGTAAATTTTGTAAAACCTTTTTCACTAGAAAATAAACCTTAATCTTGAAATTTTGATAGTTTACATGACACCTTGATTTTTATATACATGAGAGCCGCCTTTACAGCGCCCTTTGGCGCTCTGTGGCACGTAATCGCCATAGAATCCTAAATCCTCCAAGAGCACCTTTGGAAGCTGGCACCCCCTAAATTTTTGTTCAACCACCTTTTAGCATCCCTTGATTTTCACATTCTTGATTTTCATTCTGGCATACATTTTTGTGTCCGATCCAACTTGACTCGGCTGAGTTCATTTTTCTTTTCTCTCGCTGCGAGTGGCGAGTGGTTAAGTGTGAATGATCGATTATCAATATCTTCCTGTTTGAAGCTGTGGTAAAGAATCGATTATTAAGGTGTTCGTTGCGAACACCCTGTTTATCGATCCTTTCCCATAGGTTTAAATGGTAGATCAATCGATACATCTCAAAGTCGCTGTCAGGCAGATTTCAATAACTGTAATTTACACATAAAAACGTAAAATTTTAAAAAACTAGGTCGAATGTCTACGCGAAGTAAAACCTCAGAATTCAAAATTCAGAATGCCCTTTCTTTTCTTTCAATCAACGCCACAGTACTCGTATACCACCTCACAGTTAATTTGATTTGTCATCATATAAGCTCTCTGATGTCGACGCCACACTTTAGCTACGTTGTTTATGTTCACGACAGCTTCGACTTTTTTATGGTGGCACAATATTCTCGGAAGGCAGGTGAATGTAGCTGCTTTCTGGGGAAAAAAACAGAGCCACAATATTGCGTCACATCTCAACGATTCACAAGCTCTATCTTTTTTTTTGTCCAGTATTAACTTTCGAGATGCTGGAAGGGAACTTGTACTTGGACTTCAACCAATCGAACCCCAATAATTTCAAAGACAGCGAGGATCTATTAGCCGACCACAAGTCGTTATTTCGATGGTTCTCGGAGGAGGTGGTGCTCGACGTGGGATGTGGACCGGGTGACGTCACTCGTCACGTTCTCTATCCGTGGCTCCCGGAAAACGCAAACAAGACCGTGCTCGGAGTAGACGTTTCTCCCGTCATGAAGGACTTGGGCAATAAAAAGTTCGGTCATCCCGACGTTTTCTTCGAGACCTTCGACATCTCTAGCAAAAACTTGGCTGTCATTACAGAGGACGAGAAGTTTAGAGACGGCTTCACGAAAATATTCTCATTTCACGTCTTCCACTGGATTGATGACCTTGAGTAAGTGTGGTGTTTCGGCCTTTAAAGTGCCGTCCACAGCAAAAAAGCCGTAACTCCATTCAAAATCTTACATTTTTCTTCAACACATACTGCTCTATTCCCAAGTTGCAGAGGTTGCAACAACTTGCAACAAAATCGTTTGATTCTTGCAACTAATAGATTGATGTGCAGATCTCTCCCCTGAAGGAGTTATCATTGTTGGAACTAGTTGCAATTAAGTTGAAACATGTTTCGGCTTCAAAGTATTGCTGGTTGCCTATCTTAAGATTTTAAACAACTTTGGTGCAGCAATTTTGCAATGTCAGCAGGTTACAACTTTGTCTTCCAATCAGATCGCCGAAAATCGGCACTTATCGACCAAAAGTTGACCGAAAGTTGCAACTTTGTTGCAACTAGTACCAACATTTTTTCAACATTTTGCAACTTTTCCATTGAAAAATGCTACTTGGGTATAAGAAAACCTTATGACCGCAAGGCTTCTTTTTTTCATGTTGAGTTCCTGAGAGTTCTCTAGAGTTAACTGAAAAGAATGAAGGATGAGTTTTTGTTGGGATTCTTGTGAAACAATATTTTCCAGAAATTTTTTTTAAAAAATATGAATGGAATTACGGCGTTTTTATTTTGGATGGCAATTTTCAGGGGGCTGCATATTCAGAGGTTTGGCTGGGATACTCAGAATCAGTGTAACAAGTGCCTAGATCTAAAATTAAGATTAGAATTGGTCAATGATACCTACGTTTGGAGACCCGCACAAGACAAATGATCGGTAATATGTTCATTTTCGTATTTCACGCCATTCACGCGTATTGCAATTTAAACGTTCTATTATTTCCGCCTACATCGTATTTTTTAAAAAAAAATCACTAATGAACCTTGTCGTTTAGAATTTTCATCGAATTTTCTATTTAAGACGTTTAAGAGACAAATATACCCCCAGGCAATGAAGTTCTGCGGTTTTTTTGGTGCAGAAGAAATCTGCCTAGTTGCTAAAAGAGATGCGTGTTTTGTGGCTCACACCATGAAACCTTTAAATTCTCTATAAGATAAGTTGGAGCTTCATGATTATGCATATTAAAACACATATTGCGGCTTCTACTCCTGGGTCCTCGCTATAATACTTATGAAAATATTTAATATCTATGTATATCCCCTTGAATAGGAGCATGGAATTTGGCTTGATCTTTAAAGTTATAATGTAAAATAACGTTGAGTGAGATTAGTTTCAAAATACGTATATACGTAGATATTTTAAACTGAATGAAAATTTCGTGTTGAACTCGCTTCCAGAGCGCCAGCTTTAAAGGTCGATGTAATCATCGTGATCACGAGAGTATGAGAGCAGAAATAATTGTCATGACTGTCATTTCCAACAGCTCGCAGCTATTTATGAGATTTAATTTAGATTAATCAAGTCTTATCCTGCATTAGCTGAGTGTCTTTCGTATTTTTCGCATATTCGGACCACAGTCAGCAGTGCCCTCGCTGCAGTTCCGATACAATGTAAATACATGCGAGTCATTATTGAAGAAGAAAAAAAGCACTAATGCTATTCTGTAAAAAAAAAAATTAAAAGTGATTGCTCTAATTCTGAGAATGCGGCATTAAGACACGGAGGCTATTTTCATTTGTTTGTGTGTCCTCAGGCACATCGAGTTACTCAACATTAAATGCGAGTCAAAGTTTCACAGATTTTTTTTGTTTACAGACTAGCTTTTGAAAACGTGTACAAGCTGCTGAGACCCGGCGGTCAAGTTCTTCTCACTTTCCCAGTTAGTAGACAGTATCAAAGGTTGTACAAACAAATGCAGGAAAGAGAACCATGGTCCAAAATGTTAAAGGTGCGTAACCACTTTTAACTGCGAGGCTTGGAGGACAAGGCGCATAAGTGCAGTTCTTGAAAAAATTGAGATATTCATGAACTCGACTGAAAGTAGTCTGAAAATATGTTCTGTAAAAAATTCACATGTAAAATCCAACTTTGAAGCATCAAAAAGTGAGTTTAAACTTCCATTCTGCCGTAAGGCTCCATGGAATTTTGAATTTTTAAAAACATATTTCTTGGAATAGCAAAAACTGCACTTATGTGCCTTATCCTATAAGCCCCTCAGCTTGTCTGGAGCACGCTCTTCCACTTTAATATGTCAATAAGTAAAACCTATAAATTTATAGATGAACCCAGGTAAAAATTGGCGATAGGAGCTGCGTTGCAAAAACCATAGGAGTTCTTATAGCCGACTAAAGAATATCATATTGATATCATTGATAATCATATAGCTGGCTGTAGAAAGCGGAGCAAATCATATAGCCGGGCTATACGAAGCTATAAACAAGTATACAGTCGGGCTGTAGTTCCTATCGCCGGGCTTTACACTTTATCGCCATTCGCTATAAAAGGCTATAAGAAATTGTGTAGAAATTCGTGTGCTTTGGAAATCATTAAGTTTGATGCGGACCTACCTTTATATTTACAAAACACACATTATATTTTCCTTTAGAACATATTTTTTTTCATCAATTAAAATGAGAATAGTTCATACAGATTAAAGTTCATGCGAGATTAAATATTAGAGTCTAGCACAAAGCGGAGCGGCGACGCACTGGCGCCTACAAACCTAACAGGGGTACGTCACGCATTGCGCAATGCGTGAAGTATCCCTGTTAGGTTTGTAGGCACCAATGCGCGCTTCGCGCTCTCTGCCCGCCCGCCGCGCCGCAGCGTGCCACGGCGTCTGAAGCAACTGTTTCACACCAGAGGTATTGCACAGTATCATAAGAAATTGAAGGCTCTCCAACATATTAAGAATGACAGGCATCATTCAAAAGTACGGAGCTTTCCTTGCAAAATAAATCAAGATACGAGTACTACGGCACAAAAAGAGAGCGGTAGTCCAAAAACTAACTAAGTTCTAGTATCCATATTTAGTAACGTTTAGCATAAACTTTATCGTCTGGCCGTTGCTTAATCGCCATCGGCTATAAAAGGCTATAAGAAATTTTGTAACCGGCTATAGAAGGTATTGGAAATATTACAGCCGGCTGTAGGTCTATGGTATTTTGGAACACAGATCCTAATGCCAATTTTTACCAGGGAAATGTTATTGAACATTCAAGATTGACTTTCTCATAGAATTAGGTATAAAACTTGGATAATTCATTTTCATAGAGTTCGGAATTCTTAACTTCTGCGGTTGAAAAAAATAAATAAATGATCGCGTCAAATGAACGTCACTAGTAAGCTAAGTTTTAAAATAGGCGCGTTTTTGCATACTTTAACCAGTTTAAGAAGGCTACGCCTGCTCTGGCTGGGTTGTTGCAATCGATTTTTGTTTCGAAAAAGAATTGACTTTCACTTGGTTTTTTTACGATGATCCATGTTTTTATATTAAAGATTGGATACATTTAACTGAGATTTCGGTGACCAAAAATGCACTGATATTGCTAATTATATACTAACCCAAAATTGCTTGGTAGATATATGGCGTTCGCAAGTCCAGGGATTATCATTGATGACCCCTCCGTTCACCCTTTCTTTGGTCGTAAAAAAGGCTAAAATACAAATCATTAAGGATTGAAAGTTTTCCCTCGCTTTTACGTAAAGTTCACAACATTTGATTATAGTGTTTTGTAAGTAGATATGTAAAAAGGTTGAAATTATTCTGGCGTGTTAATTTATTCATGGTTTTTGAATATACAGGGTGCCCATCGAGAAATCCCAAATTACTTCTTGAACGGTGACCCCATTACGGAGTTCTTGTCAATTGTGACCAAGGTGGGATTCAAAGTTGTCTCCTGCAAGCTTATCACGACACACGATGAGTTCCCCAGCATTGAAGCCCTAAAAAGTAAGTTGCTATTTTGCTCTTTTGATAATCATCAAAAAGTTATCTTAGTTTCTCCGATGATTAGTATACACGTGTTGAAATGATAGCAAAAAAGCTCCGTCAGGTTCAAAACAATATAATTATGAAAGTATAAAAACGATAGAATTTGGCATATCGATGCGAAACTATGTACCTCCGTTTGCGACGTTCCAGACTTCCCGTCATACTTTTTTTGGAGGGGGGGGGGAGACAGCTAGTAAACGAAAAGCCTAAAAAACAAGCATATCAAGTGCACAAGTTTGACACTTACTCTGAAACTCATCTAAACACAAAAATGACTCATTGGTAAATGGTTGATATTAATTTAGGTTTATCTATTTAATTCTTGAGATACCTAGATAGTGGTAAAGTACTTCAAACAGATTCTAGAACTTGATTATCGAAAACATACCGATTGAAAAATATTATTAGCTTTAGTTAAGCTTAACATAATTGAACAATCTTTAATTTAATGGTTTAAATAAATGTATACACTTTTAGTGATATTATTTTCGCGTTCTAATAAATATTAAATTGATTTGTAGGTCACTTTGATGTAAGTTCACATCGTCTAATTTGTATAGCCTTTATAAAAAAGCTTTTAAAAAAATGTCTAGTATTGCGCGCAATTCGAAGAGTCCCATTTAATTTTCGGAAGACAGCGTGAATTTACTTCATAGCTCTTATTACATGGTATAAACTTTGATTCTTTTTCACAGAGCTTGTGGGCTCTTTGGACATCCATTTCAATAAAATACCCACCAACTTGCGAGGGCAGTACTTGGAGGAGTGCATCGAAATCATGAGACAAAAAAATCTAAAAGAGTTGGATAACGGCACCGCAGTGGTCACAGAGAAACGAATCACCGCTTTCTTGGAGAAATAATACCATTCCGGACGGTAAAGAATACCAGTGAACGTGTTCACAAAGTGCCATAAAACAACTTTGCGTTACTCTCTCAAGACTTTGACATTTTGAACATATTGCCGTTTCAATACCGAAGTACGAAAGATACTCACACCCAAAGCCTGTGTGCAACTATTCGTGCCTAAGGTATGTGTTTAGCATAAACTAAGAATTGAAGGCGTTTTGTCATTTCGGATCATCTCAGTGCAGTCAGCCGTCGCGTTGCGTCGCGTCACATCAATCGCGGATGAAGCGGTAAGTGCTTGAAGAATCAAAACGCCTTCAGTTTCGTGCGTATGCAGCACGGACATCCGTAGAGCCCGAATAGTTGCATCTAGGAGCTGAAATGAGATAAGTTCCGGATTCTTCGTATGCGACAATAACTGAAGGCGTTTTAATTGTACTTCTCGCATCCTAACTTGATTCCGGCGTTGCTAATTGTGGCGACGAAGGACACTAATATTGATATTTATTGCGCCATTGTCAATTTACCAAAACATACGTTGATTGTTTAAATTCTTTGCAACGCAGCCCTCCTGAAATGTGAAGCACAGAGGTCGAATTTTGTCGGCGCTTTCACACGGCGTGCAACATCCATCGATGAGATCAAACCGCACCACCGGCCAATCAGAAGCGCTGAGCCGGACTTAAGTGCAGTCGAGACCCGTCCTAAGTACGGTGGAAGGACCGACAAAATTCGGCCCCTGCCTCTACCCTTACTAGCCTGAGAACGATGAAGCGGTATTGTGAGTGTGTAGTAGCTGATTGTGAGTTTCCAATTGAGGCACTCAATACTTCTGAGTTTTTTTCATTCAAATACGTCAAGCACAATTGAATTTGAAGACTGCAGCAAAAGATTAGAGGATGAATTTCGAAAAAAAAATAAGAACGAAAGAGGCGTCATCAGTTTCATGTTACACTAGCCCTTACTCACACATCAATACCTCATCCAGAAGTTAATTTCGAATTTTCTTGGTCAGCATTTTTCTCGGCGTAAAATTTTGTCAACAAGATCCATGCACCATGTTCACCGTTTATGTTGGCCGCTTGGATCAAAATTTTCAATTTTTTTGCTCTCTAGTTCAGTATTCTCTCCTTTCGTTATGTCTCTTTACATAGTCCTCCAATTGTATATAACATTGCATTGTAATTCATACCGTTGTGACAGCTTAAAGTGATTAAGGACTGGAAGAAACATCCGATGGAATTCTGTATAACTTCTGATGTTAACGGTCACCGTCAGCATGTTTTTCATTGATTCCATTCCAGTAATAACATAGCCATGTATAAAGAAGAAAGACCGTATGAAATGTTTTATTGGTTATGTATTTATTTTTTTCATGTTTTTAATTTATTTATGCATAATTAATAATAAACTGCAATTATTTTATTTAAGAACGCTTATTAAATAATAATGATTTACGATTTTTCTTTATTGAATCGCTCGTTATCGATTCGTGTGAAAAGAACTTTAATTTTGTTTTGGAGACTAATTATTATTGAGAACATCAATTTTCTATTGAACAAATATTGTATTATTATTCACCTTGACTTAACTGGTTAGAACCTAACGCTAATGGTTCGGGCATTATCATATTGATGAAAAGTCAAGGATTGAGTGGTATAAATAAAATTAAAAGCATATAAAATTTCATTCAGCCTCTGTAAAGTAAATAAATGTTCTCAATCGACTGAGTCTACAACATACTGGGATTTACAATACATTTGTTACGTATCCCTGATGAGTTAACACTCATGTCAGTCTCTGTTGCCGATTGTTCATACATCGGCCAGTGGCGTGGCGTGAATTGCGATGTACCTATCGATTGTTATGCCATTTAAACCTATGGTAAAGAATCGATTATTAAGGTGTTCGCTGCGGACACCCTGTTTATCGATCCTTTTCCATAGGTTTAAATGGCATAACAATCGATAAATCGCAAAGCACGCCACGCCACTGAGATCGGCCCAATTTTACCTGGGCCGATCGCGATCTGCCTGTGCACATCTCGATCCATGTGAGCCATTGATGATTCATTCAAATCGGCCCAAAATCGGGATCGGCCCGTAACACATTAAGCCGGAAGAATTCTCTCCGGGATCGTAGGGTCAAAAGGGTGAAAAAATAAAATTCGTAGGTTGTCTGAACCATTCACACAAATTTTAATGAAAACAAACATTATTGTAAACCATTCAAAAAAATTAAATAATTTAAATGTAAATATAAGAAACAAAGAAATTGTATATTTTAGCTTACAACTTGGGCAAAGTTTTATATAAACATTTCATGTTTCGAAAACAACAACTTTGCGAATAAATAATGACGGAACGAATACAAAAATAAATTATCTACAAGAGGAAAACGTGACTAAGAATGCTTCGCATCCATACAATAAATCTTTGGTGTAGTTTGAATCGAACGGCTTCTGTCATGAGTAGATGGTCATTAGAATCATCTGAAAATAAGAAAGTACAATTTATGAGGGGAAAAAGAAAAAAGTTGAAAATCCATCCAAAGTTAGAAAATACTTTGTTACACAGGGATACAAAGTTAATTCACCTGACGGCTTATTTCGTAATGAATTGAATTTCAAAAGTTACCTATCCAAAAACTTTGAGACACCATTTCCATAAATGAAAATCTAAAGTATTTTCTATATTCTTTTGTAATCCCAGCGCAAATTTGGAAGTCTCTGATTGGGGTGAAACAAAACAATCTATATGTATCACCTGGCAGGCAGGCTACACCACCTAGAACAAATTGCCTACAGATATATTGAACTGAGGTTCGATGGTCCAATGGTCTCCTTACTTGATCTGTCAAACTGAACTTTTAATCAGTCAAACCGAGCGACCGGTTCACGTGGTCGAACTTTTTTAGTGAATCAAACTGATTTAAGAAGTTCGGTTACTCAAGTAGAACGTTTGGGTAATCGAAAGTGCGGTTTAACAAATCAAATAGTTTGATCGATAAGGAATGCCGATCGATCGGTGTTCCTTGCTCTACGTCGATCAAACTTCCTTCCTTCCTTTTAATGTTAGTAAAGTATGAGAAAACTAAAAAAATCTAGATACATTTCTTACCTCTTCTAGAGAAATAGGATTGCCCTTCATTTTGGTATCCAAACTGTGGTATCGCTCTGTGAAAGTTGAAAAGAAGAAAAAACTGGTAAAGTATTTTGATCGTGGTTTACGACAGAACTGCTAATGTGAAACAACAACAAAAAATGCCAAATCTGTGATAAAAACCACCTCTTAACACTACTCAGAACACAGCGTCATGAATTTATTTCTGACTCTGTATTTACGTAATAATCATCATAAAAAGCTGAGACCATGACGGAGACTTAATTTGGTCACTGAAAATTAGAGATGATCAACGCGAGTGCATTTAAAATAAAGTGCACTGTTCCATGCAAGTGGATTTACAAATTTCCTTTATTTGAACTTAATATATAGCACTATTTGCTCTCGGTTTTCTATTCTTTCAGTGGTTGCAGTACTGCACTGCCGTGCAACGCAAAAACGTCGTAAACGCCACTTTACATTTTTAAGAAACAATGTATCATAGCAGAAAAACTTGTGTACCTCGGGACAATGTTTTTGCAGAATTATTTTGCAATACTGCACCTATCGAAAAATACTATCGAGAACTTAACCTGAAAATTTGAAGTGCGTGGGTAAAACAGTTTTTATTTCATGAAGTGTTACATTCTAAAAAAACGAGGAAAAATCTTGATGGATTTACGGCGTACTTGCTTAGCACGGCAGTGCAGCACATCCACGGTGAAACCACCAGACCAAATATTTCGGTTTGTGACGTTGCATACTTACCGTCATACTTCAATATTTAAAAAGAAAACCACTCAATGTCAATTCTTAAAAAACTTCCGTGATTTTTCGACTCTGTACGAAGAAACTCTACGAAAAGCTCAAGGAATGATACTGATTTGTTCACCTTTAAGAAAATAAAATGAGAGCGGATATTTTTAAACACTGCAAAAAAGATACGTGTTCTGGTACTTTACCATTGATATTGGTGTCCAATTTTTTCACAATACGAGATCAGTTCTGCCGTAATAGCGAAGTGAGCCGGAAGTGCAAAAATGAAGTTTTGAGAAAGTGGTCCCATTAGCTTCGGAGCGGAAAATTTTATTGAAAGAAGCTTTTGTCAAATTGCCGCTAATTATCCGCAAGACTCTCAGAAATCGTGTAGATGATCATGAATCGACAAATGTTATTTCAATTATATAAAAAGGATATTCATTTTCATGTTAGGCTATTTTTTTAAAACTATTTCAGTGACTTCATATATAAGCGATTAGACAAAATTTGAAGGAAACTCGATTTCGAAAATTTGACAGTTACGGCTCTCTTCGCAATCACGGCGAAGTTGTGTGCGGGAAATTCCCATCACTTTACGCTTACGCATGAATGGAAAAATTGCATTCAAGGGATTTTTTAATCGGCGTTTATTGAAAAAACATAAAACGAGGAGCATTATATTCTCACCGTGTGCGAGATGTAATCGGACCATCGCCATGACGAAACATTCGGAGGAAAGAATTGTGTTGCGCGTGAACCTGAGGACGAGGCATTCGAGAACTTTGTTGCTGACTGTGCTCCCGGCTTCCCATAACAGTGGTCGCAGATTATAACTAGAAGTTTTACACGCGCTGTTCGTTTTATCAAACTTTTGGAACGCTATCTGAAATGCCAAATAAAACAGAATCATCAGGAAAGCACTTCGTACACAGGGGCCGTCCCTAAATTGGACGCATTTCTATCAAACAGATTTATGTTGAGGTGAGAAATATGGGGTATGCTCATCAGTTCTCTGGCCGTAAGAGTGAATGAGAACAATAAAGCGCCAGTGACGTCAACGGAAATGGATGCGGCTCCTCGTAGTGCGCTTTAAGTCATGAACCCTGTTCACAACGCTCTTGTGCCATGCCCGCGGCTCATATATCCCGCATGCAGTTGGCACATAGTTCTCTTTGCTGAATTTAAAATCCCGCTTTTTCAATTCTTCAAAAGGAATCACGCTCACTTTTGTTTCTTATCCAGCTTTCTAGAGCACACCCCATATTTCTCACTTGCGCATAGTTCTGTTTGATAGAAATAGTCCAATTCAGTAACGCTCTAGGGGGGGGGGGGGGNGGGGGGGGGGGGGTGGAGGGTCCCAGATCGCGTTACGTCGTTTTGTTCGTACGTGTTAAAGGATTAACCTAAATTACAAAAGCGTTAGGAGGGAGGAGGGCGGGGGCAAAAATGCCGAAAAGTGCGTTACGTAATTTAGGGACGGTCCCATAAAATGGGATGGAATACAATGTGAGATTCAGGATTTCAGACCCGGTTTCTATCACCTTCCGATTTCATTTGGACGTGGTTAAATTTAAAAGAAAAGACTGCATCCACTCTGATATGACCCTTGAGATTCATAAGATTACACGCATGACAGAGCTCATATCGCAATGGGCATAGTTCCTTTTGATTGAAATGAATCGATTTAACCGCACCGTATGGGGTACCGCTAACCGCTGGGTAACCGCTACGGGGACGGAATTGCGGGAAATAAAATAAATCAAAAATTCTATTAGAATAAAGACGTATCGTACTCAGTGGCGTGGCGTGAATTGCGATATATCGATTTTTATGCATTTAAACCTATGGAAAAGGATCGATAGACAGGGTGTTTGCAGCGAACACCTTAATAATCGATTCTTTCCCAGAAGTTTAAATGGCATAACAATCGATACTTCGCATTTCACGCCACGCCACTGATCGTACTACTGCGCGACTTACCCGCCAGAATTGAAGCATATGCATTAAAACTGGAATATCAAGAATGTTGATCCTTCCGCAGATATTTGTGTCCCGAAGCATGATGAGACTTTTACATAACTCTAAACTAGGTTTTTCTGCTAAATACGCTGAAAACAGTGAAAAGATGAAATTAAGATCATGATAGATTGAAAGTGATTGATTTGTACGACCTAAGTGAAATATCCAATTTTCATGAGTAAATATATTGTTTCCAGAATATAGAACGAACATATCGATGGCCAAAGTGCGAAACTTGTGTCTCCATCGGGTTACAGGACATTTCGGCAACGTTTTTTTGTCCGCGCACCTGTTTTTTCCAGTAATTTACGTCCACGCGTTTTTTCGGTACGGGAGTTTTGGTCCACGTGCCAGTTGAGACCCAAAGTTTATTGGCCCACATGTAAATACAAACGACAATTGCTCACGACGTTTTTGGATGAAAATGTATAATGTCTTGGAAAAATGAGGGTTTGCTTGTTTTTTTTGTTTTGTCTGTTTGGTCCAACGGAGAATAATATACAATAGTTGAGAGTTTTGGTAAAAATGGGGGAGCGTCAATTCCATGATACCAAATTCACTAAAACTCTCTACACCTCTTTGGTGTAACAGGACTTAATTATCTTTCAAGAAATTCCCACCTTGTTATACCTGAACCGGATAAACCTCTATATGTATTTGCCTCAGCTAAAGGCTTTTAGATTTTTCCTGTGTTCGATAAGTATCTTTATTTATTTTGCGAGGAAAGATCTGTACTTTTAAAGGATGTCTGTCATTCTTAATACGATCAATTTCGTATAATACTATGCAACACCTCTGTTGTGAAATAGTTGCTTCAGGCGCCGCCTTACGGCGGGCGGGCAGCCAGCGCGAGAGGCTCACTGGCGCCTACAAACCTAAGTGGATACTTCAAGCATTGTGCAATGCGTGGAGTATCCACTTAGGTTTGTAGGCGCCAGTGAGCCTCTCGCGCTGGCAGCACGCCGCTCCGCTCTTTTAGATTTTTCCTCGCATAGTCAGCGTTTTTTAACTCATGATTTTGACATGTTTGCACACTCTGCATTGATTATTCTCATTTAAATTGATGGGAAAAAAATATTATCAATTTATCAAAGGGTGCGCGGACAAAAAATCGTCGACAAAATGTCCTGAAACCCTCCATCACGCTGTTTCAAAAATTCCGCCCCTATTTTATTTTTTCAAATAGAAACAAGCAAACTTTAGAGTCTAAATTTTTTACAGAAATTTAACCAACAGTGAGGAAAAATCAAGGAATTTTACAAGATAGTACGTTGACTAGCATTCCAAAGATGAAATAAAGAATGGTGGGGAGTCTGCAACGTCGCAAACGGAGACACGTAGTTTCGCCATCGATGTAAGTTGAGAAAACTCATATCGCATGTAAGTGAGTCATATTATAAAACAATCTTACCTTTCCAATGAGTTTTCAAGATTTTCTGAAGCTGAGCAACGTCAACTTCGGGAGGATACTTCAACAAAAGTTTTGCCGTCAGCGATTTACCATCGGGCTGAAACAAGCAAGGTCACGAACGATGTAAGCATATGCCTAAGATAGAGTGATTAGAGACGTTTTAACTCACAGGAAAACGTATTTTTAAGATGTGTTATTTGTTTTGCTCATTCAGTATTTAAAAATTAAAATCAAAGCTCAAACGGATATGTGGCCCCTTGGGCGCTAAGTATGCTACTTGTGATGTATTGATAGCTCACATATGGGTATATATTTTCATAGATCATTACATAAAAAGTGGGCCCTTAAAAGCTTAATAAATGAAAATGCAGTAAAAGGTATTGAAGGAATGAAACGATATTCCCGCAATCTCCCTATTCCGATTTGAGAAATAATGGGCAACATTTAATTAATTAAACTAGTAAGGATCATCTTAGGAACTAGAAAATATATCGATGATGCTATTTACACTTACCAAAATAACAGAGTCTTCTAAAAATTCAGCAGATATATTCCTAAATAACATATTATCTTCATTAACTTCCCTGAAATCAAAGAAAGTTCGTGAAAAAAATGCGATATATGATCGTTACAATCAGATTATTATTACGGGATATATTTGGTACTTGAGTTTTCATCCTTCGTGAAAACTTTAAACATCGACTGACGTAATTGATCTCTGTTTCAAATTCTTCAGTTAAAGTTTCACGTAGGTAAATTATTTGTAATTTGACTACATCCATGTGATGAATCCTTAAGTCATGTGTGTTGTAAATGTAAGTGGTTTGGTATGCATAAACTCTGATGATGGCTATCAAGCCGAAAAAACTTTCGTGATTAAAACATTTATTTATACTACGTTTTGGTTTAATTCGTTTTCAAAAATCTTATAAGCGCGTCGTTCGACATGAATTGTTTAAATAGAAAAATATGTGGTTCATTACGAAAGGAGATTGCAGCTTTCGAGGATTCATAACTATGCAAGAAAATAATGATTTAGAGCAGTTTTGTGAACGCGCAAAGTGCTCAATTTTCTTTGATTTTTTATTCATTAAAAAAAGTTTCATTTAAGTTTTCTCTAAACTGCGCTTCAACAATCAAAGCATTTCTCTTTTGCAAACGCCAAATTGTTTATGTAAATTCATAAGTGAATCGCTTTTAGCAAAAAGGAACCAGCGTGATTACAGTGTTGTAGAAATGTTGCGTATTCATAATTATCTAAAAAATCTCCCAAAATAGCAAATAGTTGTGACTTCCCATCAAAAAATCGTAACTTTTGAAAGAAAATAATTGTGTAAATTTTAATACTGTACGTGTATTAAGTATTTTTAAAAGACAAGGAGACATTGCACAATTTTGAAAACACTGTATTGGCGCTGGTTCCTTTTTGCTAAATGCAATCCAAATCAGAAGCTGATTACTTAAAGGGAGATTCAGATTCAGACTAACGTCTGACGAACATTCTCTCCGAGACAATTTTGCTAAAAACCGACGTTTTTCAGTTTGATAAAGTATATCTTAACGCGGTTACCTTTCAGTAGGTTATTACATCCGGTTTGGGGAGGATTTGTCCGATGAAGCAATTATTTATGGTAAAATATTTAAAAAAATACACTTACCAGATATTACTTTGTTCATCGGTAAATATTCTTAATAAAAATTTGGCATCACAGTTTGGTACGTTTGTTTGAGGTACGACTATATAATCTCCTGGCGGCAAAGTGAAGAATGTTACAACTTCTCGTGCCACTGAGTGATTCGTTACATCTAAGGGTTTCTATAACAGAGACAAAAGTAAAGGTGAAAGTCTCAGAAAACTTTAGAGAATGGCGAAATTGCAACGGCTTATTGAAGAATCAAGGAGTCCTGGATAAATGAGTAAATTCAATTCGATACATCGGAGATTCAATCACATAAACCAAAAAAAGGACTACAGTGAACTGGCATGGCGAAACGACACAGAAAAAGGGATACAAATTAACGTGCTCTTAGGTCAAGAAATTGCCTACTCGTGAAAATTGAAGGCGTTTAGTCAGACGTGGTGTTTGAGAACATACATCTTGATCACACTGTTAAAGCTTTGATTGATCAGAAACAGAAAAACTCTTGATATTCGTTCTTTTCAGTCTCAAAACTCGCCAGATTATCATGCTAATCTGCAGCGGTGAGGCAAGTGTGATGAGAGAGCAAAAAATATTTGACGAAAAAAGAAAGGAATTGATGAGAAATCAAAAAACTAAAACAATATCATTGCAAATGAAGAAAGAACTTACTTGATCTACTACAAAGTTTTGGGTCAGTCTTGGCATTGAGTGCGGGATTTCGTAAACGGCGAATCCAATTGCGTGCAAAGGCCTCTTTTTCTTTGATTCAGGAATTGTTTCATAATACTGAGTAACGGAGACAACAACATGGCATTTATTACTAGACGATCGTGGTATTTGTATATGGAATTGAGGATTCATGGACGTCGTTTCTAGATATAAAAAAAAATTTCACAATCAGATGCTTACGTATTACAAATCAAAATTAGAAAATGGATACTGGATCATCTGCTTACTAAACTCGTTTTGCCTCCCGATGCAAAATCGATGACTGACGAACAATACTGCCTACCTGCAAACTGACGATTTTGCAGAACGAAGAGAAAACTTCGCAATTTTTATAATTTTAAATTTAAGTTTAAGTTTAATTTATTTATATTAATTAAAGTTAATTAATAAATTTAAGTTTAGACTTTCAAGCGTATTGAAGCGACATTCATTACAGCATCATTGAAGCGCTCCCCTGTAGAATTGGAAAAAACTAGAATCATCAGCTCGCGTAATTTATACTGTAAAATGTGGCAAAATTGCTGGCTCATTTTTGTCGACACTGTCAGGTAGGCAGTATTGTTTGTTAGCCCTCGAAATATTTTGATTCAATAAATAAACCATTCATTTAAAAAAGACCAACTATCAGATTTTAGGCTCATAATGACGACATTCACACTGCATTTTTCTTCTTTTTTGAATAAAACATATTTTACAGAAATCAGTATCGCTATAACCAGTGCTCCCATTTCCCGGAACTTGTTCCAAATTTCGGAACTTTTGAGATTTTCCGGAATTTTTCCCGGGGCTTTTGGAATTCCCGCAATATTCCGGATCTTTTGAATTTCCCAGAACTTTCTCAGAACTTTAGAAGATATCTGAAAAGAATTCCGGAATTTTTGACGGTCATGGAGTGTGCCGGAACTTTTGACGGACATGGAATGCGAGCACTGGCTCATTCAGCTTTTTTCAAAAGTCAATATCCTTCAAATTCAAATTATTTTTGAGCCCAGAAACTATGCGTAAATGGAGATATATTGCCTATTTTGCCTGTAAAAAAATCATTTGAGGAGGGGAAAGTAGCTTTCTCTCAAAAAAAGCAAGCAGAAAGTCGGTGCATGTCGGCGAAAGAGAAATTAAAACGTTGAGTCTCGAGAGACCACACACACTGCTCCGTGGCCGGCGAGCGTGGGCGTCAGGGCCACAAAAAATTCGAGGAAGAATGCAGCCTCACGCCGATCATATTTTTGTTTTCTCAAAATAAATTAAAACACATAGTATGATACGCAGTGGCGTGCGTCGCTCGAGCCTAATTATTCCCTCCTCTCCTTTGATTTACTGTCAAGATAAAACGCTTATGTAGGATTGGATAATTGCCCACTGATAAGGAAAATAAACCATTTTTCATTTTGAATTGGTCTATCTCCTTTAATAGTCATGCAGCCCATGCTCATTGTCGGTCACACCTGTGGCTGTGCTCTGTGGATTTTTCAGTGTTCATAGCTGCACTCAGATCTCTTTTCCCGCGAAAACATTTCATGATATTTTCTGGAGCGTCTGTCATTTCTGTGAAAATGTGTGCGTTATACCAAAGAAAATATGCTGACTTAATATTCTGGATGTAAAAAAGTGTGCGAAAACTCACAAAACGTTAAATTAACCGCCGCAGCAGTCAGCTTTACATCTTGAAATTGCTGTAGTAACTGCTGTGGCGCGGCGGTTAATTCAGCGTTTTGTCAGTTGCCTCACACTTTTTTACATCCAGAATGTTGAGTCAGCATCCTTTTTTTCGGTGCACTGAACTATATCGTAATCCAAAGTTACGTGCCGAATTTAGTGTCAAAACTCCCTCGCAGCAGTTGCAATTATCGTAAATCTCAATCCAAGCTGCCAGGTTTTCCGAAGTACGGAAAATTTATCATACATTAAATGGGTTATAATTTCTCGTACAAAATTCTAAATTATGCCTGACCGCTTTGCGGTGCACCCCCCCCCCCAAGGCCTCGCGCCTAGGGCGTTATGCATTACGCTTTAAACTTATAATTTGAGATAATGTGGAAGATTTGATAATGCTGAATGGGCTGCGACAACAGAACCTTAATGGTTTTATCGTACGTGCCGCGCGGTTTTGATGATGCGAAGAAAGAAAAAATGGATTGGTGATTTAACAATAAAACTGTTAAAAAAATACGTCCGACCTGTTTCAAATGTAGATTTTACAATTGTTGGAAGCTAATGAGCCTCTAGACAGGGTAAGAACTGGAGGCTCTAAGCACATAAATCTGCATCAGAATTTTGCGTAGAATTCAATGGTACAAACGGGAATTCATGAAACCAACTAATAAGCGAGATATTTGCGTAAATAGACTGCGCATTTTTGTAAATCCCGCTCGCCTAATATACGAATGACGTCACATTTGTAGCCAATAGGATTGTCGCAGCGCTGCGCAGCGCCGACTGAGCATCGGCCATCGAAAACGTCCAACGCTCCCAACGCCGGGNNNNTTGGACGTTTTCGATGGCCGATGCTCAGTCGGCGCTGCGCAGCGCTGCGACAATCCTATTGGCTACAAATGTGACGTCATTCGTATATTAGGCGAGCGGGATTTACAAAAATGCGCAGTCTATTTACGCAAATATCTCGCTTATTAGTTGGTTTCATGAATTCCCGTTTGTACCATTGAATTCTACGCGAAATTCTGATGCAGATTCATGTGCTTAGAGCCTCCAGTTCTTACCCTGTCTAGAGGCTCATTCAACCACGCGGGTGGTTAAGTTAGTATCTTTTCATTGGAAAATCTACATTGAAACATGTCGAACAATTTTTTAACTACAAAATTGTTGAATCAACAATTTCATTTTTTTCGTGTACATGTACATGTACCTTTGTGTTCGTTACGTGTACGTATACGTTTGAATTCTTTACGTGTACATTTGTGTTCGTTACGTGTACGTGTACGTTTGTGTTCGTTACGTATAAGTGCACGTTTGTGTTCGTTACATGTACGTGTACGTTTGTGTTCGTTACATGTACGTGTACGTTTGTGTACGTGTTTTTATTTTGCTTTGTATATTGTTTTTGTTTTTACTTCTTTTCGCGCGAGACTGCATACCTGGATAGCTAGGTCCTCCACCGGCGTTGTATCCGCTTCTCCATCTTCTCCTGGCCAAGACTGCTCGCCACGGTTGCTTCGAATGCAACGCCGGCTCAATCATCCAGTCGTCTGGACCGATATGAACTAAATCTAAGTGAGTAAAATGGCGGGCAAAATCCTCGAAGGACATCCTATCAAAATATAAGACACGTTCAATTAGTATGAAACGCACTGAATACACGATAGGTTTGATTTAGGTATTTAGTTTGTCAACACAACTATCCGAGCGGCTGCTCCCACCCTCTGAATTACTATGGGATTATCGATGGCTGAAGTGCAAAGCCATGCTATGTTTCAAAATTTTCCTTTGAGTTAAATGTAGTTTCCACGTAGATTTCTGCTCCTCTGATTGGTATAGCGACACAAATGGCTTCGATGCGTTTTAAACGTTTTATAGTTTCAATCTCACTATAATTTCTGCGAAAAATGATGTTAGCAGTGATCGAAGATCGTATGAAGACTTAAGGTGTAAGTCACTGGCTCGCTGTCACCAGTACGTTACTTGTGCGTTAGCCTCAGAGGTGTGGTGGTCAAGGCAGTTCACTGCCAACACTGAGGTCCCGGCTTCAATCCTCGGAGGTGACTGATATTTGAGAACACTCAAATATCAGTCATCGTGACCGTGGATGGCTGCGCCACTTCCATACCCTAACCCTTAGAGGTAACAGGGTGCGGTAGGGACATAGTCACCCAGTAAGTAATCCGTGTGAAAAAATCGGTGATCACTCGTATAGTGTGCGCGACTGCCAGCGCTACCTATCAGTGGAGAATGCAACACCATGATCCAACTCGGTGGAGGCATGGTCGTGCTCCAAAAATCCGTGCCCTGCAGCGTCTGCCATAGTATTTGATAAGACCTACTGTTGGCTATCAGACGGCCGCTGAGCCTTGCGGGAATATAGAGGATACACAATATGTCAAGAGTACACGGAGAAAAAAACTTCGTGCGTGGGACCCGAAGTTGAGGTCATGGATCTCTGAAGTTTACGGATCACGTATCTAAAAACTTGAGGTCCAGCTGCTGAAGTTTGGATCAGACATCTGAAGGATACTCCGGTACATACCGAAGTGCCTCGATGTCTAACCCGAACTTCGGCAGCTGGACCTCAAGTTTTCGGATGCGTGATCAGAAAACTTCAGAGATCCATATGACCTCAACTTCGGGTCCCAATGACCCCATGAAAATGAAAATCAGCGTTAACAGCGAATATCTCAGCACGACGGCAGGGTTCCAGCCAGTTGCCATGGCCCCTTTAGGGCGCCTCTTCGGTAAGCCCGGCCCTTACTTAATTACTAAAGTTACTTACAGAATTTTGACTCAGGATTGTACAAAAACGAAAGAGACTCTGGAGCTTGATACACATTTTCCTTAATTTTATTTTTGAACTGATAACTTAAGAAGTGTTTTGAACTCACCAAAATTCTCCATCATTTCGGACGCGGACACTAAGGAGCTCCTTATCTCTGTCGGAGAGGCCATCCCACTCCCAGCTCCTCTCGCTCCACGGGCCGGACCACTCCCCCCGTCTCCACGGATTCCTCAATCGGACTAGAGGGGTCTCACCCATGGGACCCCGGACTCGTGCTAAACCCGTTACACTGTAAGCGTGTTGCGTCAGCAACCCGTTCCTCAACCTTAGTTGACGTTTGCTATCCTTTTCCTGCAATTCAAACATAAGAACATGTTACAGGAGTTTAAATCACTACACAAGTCGTTGGGTATGGAAAATTTAATTTTCTTTTTAAAAAATTTACGAAAATTTAAAAACTTTTAAAACACAAACTTCAAAACATTTAAAATTTTATGCAAGTGAGTGATTTTAAGTTTGTTTTTTGAAAGTTTTTGAATTTTCGTAAATTTTTTAAAAAATTTTAAATTTTCCATACTAAAAACATATTTTTAACATGATCAGATCGAACGAATTGTGCGTTCAGATGTCAATCTCGTAAATTTTTTAAAAATGTTTAAATTTTCCATACTAAAAACATATTTTTAACATGATCAGATCGAACGAATTGTGCGTTCAGATGTCAATCTCAAACGACAATGGGTCGCATTAAGCAGAAGAGAACCAAGCCACATGAGCAGTTGCTAATTTTAATCGGGCAATACAATTTTTTTCTTGACAGCGGTTGTGCGGATGTTTGTGCAAATGCCATTGAATTTTCTGCATAGTACGAAGCGAATAACTCAACATTTTCAAAGAAGTCCGTACAAACGTTCACTCATAAAAAATTGAATGACCTGATTAAATTTGGCAATGACTGATGTGGCTTGGCTCCTTTCTGCTAAACGCGGTTCAAATAACCAAGTAGCACAATGCAATAAAATATTAAAATAAAATTACAACATTTTCACATCATTTGGTCAATAAATGCCGATTTCCAACAATCGAAAACAGGGTTCCTTTTGTCAGACTGATAGGCAATTTGCAATGCAATGAATAATTGGAACTTATTTCAATTTCATTGCGACTTTCAATGAGAAATGTTCCTTCAGTCCGGAGATAAGCAACATACACAACAATCCGACGCGAAATTTTACCGTGTAATTGCAATTCAGTGCAATTCGTGCTCTCTTGCGTGGAGTATAATTTAAAACATATTTCTATGGATTCATTATTTCTTTGCGCCTAGTCTTTACAACGTCACGACAGCTTCTAATGACCGGAACTGAAGGATATTGTTAGAGATTGTTAACTTACTTAGGAAAATTTTTCCTGGAGTGAAATTCGATAGCTGCTTAAAATTATTCAGCCTCCTAAATTAAAGGCTGAAATAATACCTGCCATTCGCATTATCGAGATCATTCTATTGGACCTATCAAAATTCAAGCTACATTATTTTCTCTGGAAAAATGTTCAACGCTATACGTTATTCTACGAAAGTGATGGAATTTTATTGGCCTTAAATTTTAATTTTCAGTTATTGGAGTAATGCAAATACCTTCGTAAAATGTCATCAATTTACGACGCAATTTCAGACTTTTTATCCTGAAAGCATCTCATTTCATAGGATAAAATTGCAAAATTGCTAAATCATCGTGTTCCTTGACATCTTCAAAATTCAAAGGACAAAAAAAAAGCCATTTGAGGAGTCAGATTTTTATTGTGCGGATTCTCTTTTGTTGGAGCTGTAAAACCAAAAAGAAAACTCTATTTCTACGGATGATTGACTTACCAAATTTATGCAAGCGACTAGAATACTGGATCTAGGCACTGCACTGTTGAGCACTTGAAAAGTTAGGAGACGATCCTGATTACTAAGGGAGAAGCTTTGTACTATTCCACCGGTCAAATCCTGCAGCGCTCGGGTCGTGCACCCGCCTTTTGATAAACTCTCGTAACACCCGTACAATCTGTAGGGAAAAAAATGATGTATTGCTAATTTGCAATTGATTTTTGTCTTGATGATGAAAGTGAAAATTGACACAAAGTAAAGCCATCCTGGCAGGGCTCAGTGTAATTTTGAAACTTAAAACAAATATTTCTTGAAATAACAAAAACTACCTTTATGGACCATGTCACCTTCTCCTCCAAGCCCCCCCAAATCTCGTCGATTCAATCCAGACATTCTCTTTATTTTAAGCGCATCTGTCATTTCAAAGAGACGTCCTGTCAATATGAAGAGATTTTTGGTTAACTCAACGAAAATGATTCTTGTCCACATATTATTGAATAGATAGTTTTCCGCAGTGAGTAGAATGTGGTCGTATCGGGCACTGTTCACAAGAAATAATAAAAATTCGCTGAAAATAATTGTGTTCTTATCAAGCCTTCCAAGTATTTAACATTTCTAGGAAGCAATACAGTTGTATCGTCTTTGCTGATTTGTGCGTTCTTTGATGACAATTTGATACTTTTTACATGTAGGGATAGATTAAGTTTTAAATATTCTTACTTGGCATAAGCTTTTTCTAGAAGAGGGGCCCAAAACTCGGTGCGGTTGGTAGAATGTAAATAGACTAGACGACCTCTGTAGGTGGGCAATCGGTCATCCACTAGGATTTCCTTCCACTCACCGAAATGCCAGAACCGAAACCTACAACAAAAAAAAACATAGTGAAGTTAAACATTGATGTAAAGGTCCACACTTCAAGCATGCCGGAGTGAGATGCGATGAAGATTTTCCGGTTGTAAATTCAAAGCCTGCTCGATGATGCGCGAGTTCCTACTAAAAAAAAAAAATATAGATTGTTACACTCTAAAAACACAAATCTCTATTGAATTGTTTTGAAGATTACGTTCACCCTTAGTTTTACTAAATTCTTTTAAAAATTGAATTAACACGACATTAAATAATGCTCTGTAGTATGTTCTCGTATGTTCAAAGTTTTTACTAGGAAGTTTCAAAATGTTAATAAAAATTAGAGATGTACTTCATTTTCCTCCCAGAAAATAAAATACACACAGAGATTTTAAAACAATTCCACTGAAATAGGTGTTTTAGAGGTATACGCATAGAATTCACGAAAAGAGGGTCGTGATATTTCGGGGAAAATATAGAGCTATTGGTAATTCGAAGATCTCTAAGAACACTTCCGTAATGCATAGAACACGTGGTAGCACTTCCTACAGCCGGTTTTAAGGTGTGACGTTTCCAAAATTGAGCTTTTGTTTACAACAGAAGCAGTGGCACGCAGTAACCTTTGCCACCTCGAAATGGCTGAAACGGTGTTAAGTTCCTTCTTAAACCGAGGGTTTTTGAATTCTGATCTAAAAAAGAATATTACAATCGAAACTTCAGCTTTAGCATACTGCGACTTTAGAGATCCTCCTTCATCCACGGCAAATACAATCAGTGATACAATGCGCACTGCCAGGGTCTAAGCTTTGAATTGAAGGCGCATTATAGCCTCGCTTATCAATCAGTGTCAGGCCGAGAAAAAGCCGGCTCATTGTCTGCCGGTGCAATAAATTGGACTTCTATGTGCGTCCCCGATTGATTACTCATTGTCAGTGTAAATGCGCGCTTTTTTGTCATGTCACGCCGTGTCACACATTCGTCACACACGTTGCCGCGACACACGCTTATCGTCACACCTATCACGAGATCTACACACGCCTCATCGCCGATTGCGTGTATGTATCAAAGATGAACGCATTAAATTTCACTTCCCTCTGCGGGCCAATTATTGAAATTGATAGACAAAGCTATAGATAAAGAAGACAAAAGAGATACGGAGGGATCCTATTGGTGGAAGTGTGTGGTTGCAATAGACAAATGGAGGTAGATAATAGACTAGCTAAAGGCAACCCACGAGAGACCCTACAGTTAGTCCATCATTTTCCATCTCAGTCTATCACAACCACCCATTTCGACGAATAGATCGCTCCATATTCCCTACGTCTTCTTTGTCCATTAATTCCAATGTGCCCATAGGAGTGGATAAAACTCATATGTACGAGTAGAATTTGGAACATCTTTTTGAGACTAAAAACAAAAAGGCATTATGGGTCTGTGCACGCAAGATATTTAGCACGGGTAAAATCGCACAAAAATCACGTAGAGCACGAAGTAAAAACGCCGTATGAACCTTCAGGTGTTGCCAAATTTCTTATGATAAAACACGTCTTTCCCGGTAAACTTATGAAGATTTTTCTTCCAATTTTACAGATCATTTTGTTCTCAATTCACCCAAAGTTCCTGAAAATTTCGGGGGAAAATATTCATAAATTTCCTCAAAAATAAACCTTTTAGTGAAGAAAATTTGACGACTCTCGAATGTTCATACGGTGTTTTTCCTTAACACGGCAGCATATGAGTCTGACATCCATTTCTTAGCGCGCAATCTTCGTAGTTCGTAACACGCTTCTTCATGTTTCCCGCGTCTGCGGGCAGTTTTCCCCAGTCACCGCCGACCACATTTGCACAGGTAGAGGAGTAGGAAAAACTAACTTGAGTAAACAAATGATTTCAAAGGTTGGGTTTAGAACCCTGTCCAAAGATTTAAAATGTGAAGCTGGACATAAAATGTCTCCATGATCAAATAAACAAGAAGATCTCCGCTTTTAAAGATTGCGGAATCATTGCCACTGATTGTTTCTCGCTTTGCCATCGAGTTTTTTCTTCTACCACCGGGAGAGGAAAGTTAAGGAGGGGGGAGTGCGCGGAGGAACTGGACGATAAGAAAATAATGCAAAAACATTATAAAAGAAATTAGTTTCAATGCCGCTGGAGTTTAATAACGGTGATGGGGCAAAAAACGCGATAGAGCAACCAAGACGCTCGCCTAGAAGCTAAGCCATTCAGGAATCAAGAGAGTAGAGACCGATGGTGCCAAATTTCATACAGCGCCTGTCTTTTCTGGGCACCTTTCTTTCGATGAGGATGATTATTCCAAACCTGGTAAGCACCAGATCAGGTGTTCCTGGGATTGTGCATAGTAGGTTTCTCGCTGTAAAAGAACCTAACGTCATTTGCCACAAGTGGCGTGGCGTGTTTTGCGATATATCGATTGTCATTCCATTTAAACCTGTGGTAAAGAATCGATTATTGAGGTGTTCGCTGCGAACACCCTGTCTATCGATCCTTTTCCACAGGTTTAAATGGCATAACAATCGATATATCGCAATTCACGCCACGCCACTGATCGCGACATGAATATTTCATTGCGACATTTCTTCCTTAATTTTGGTTTTGCTTTCACGTCAAGAATCGAATTCTTCAGGCTTCAGGTAAGCCGAATTTTTCAAGTAACAGAGAGAAATTTCGACTTAAGCGGCTATTCGTCTTCGCCGCTTTGCCGCTAAACACGGAATAAGCTCGAAAATTCAAGTAAAACGATTTTAAGTGACTTATAAGTGATTTTGTTTTCAGTACCTCTTCCAAATTTTGTATCGATCGATTAAACATTCTCAATTTTTTTTGGCGAATTTTTCAAATTTTATATCTTTCCTTCTAAAAAGCATCAAAATACATTAAAAGTTACAAATTTTAATGCTTTAATACTGCTATACTTCCTTCAAAGAGAAAATTGTGTCATCTTAAATCTCTGAAACGTTTCCTTCTTTTTAAATAGCTCTTATCTCTTGATTTTTCACGCGCATGGAATCGAATTCTCGTCAGTTTTCATGTAAATTTTTCCTTTACATACGCATCATTTCCTTCGTCATAAAAGTCTCTAATTCTTCTCTAAGTTCAAGCAAAATTTCTTAGTACTGTAAAGTAGGAGAAATAAAAATAAAAGATAAGAAAAAAAAATTCTTCTTCATCTTAGTTTTTATATATTGCGCTTTACAGTGGTATCCAGGGACTGAGGGGATTTTCGACTTGAGCGGGATCTCGTCTTAACCGGAAAAAAAAAAAAAAAAATTGGCAAAATCTGACACAGACGCGGGTGACTCCAACTCCCGAACCAGGAAAGAAGAAGAGGGTCTGAGCGAGTCGAACTGATCAATGATCAGATCCGATTTGTTCCATAAATCAGTCGGTAATGCGAGGTTGCGCATTTCTGTGAGAGTAATTAGTAGTTGTTTACACCGAGGCCCCCCCCTCCCCCACCTTTGGCTCCGCGGTGCGGCGCGTCCAAGACACCAAGACAACGAAAGGATTCAACGGATCATTCTACAGGGTGATCAAAAAATTCCGTACCGCAAAAACCAGGGCTCACTCCTGTAACTTTCGAACGGATTGAGATGCAGACTTGAAATTTTTTGAGTTCTCTTATGGGTTAAATGAAACAACTTTTAGGACCCCCCAAAGTTTTAAGGAGCTCACACTAGGAGGAGCCCTAGCAGTTATAGGGGTGGAGCTGGACGTTTGGATCACCCTGTATACTCGGTTCGCTCCCTCGCCATTCCTGGTCATACTTTTCCGTCTCATTAAGTCACGTAAGATTCTTCCGGCCTGATTTTACACCTTTCATTTCTTACAACGAGCACTCACTTCTCTGGCTTTCAATTTTGCTCGTCTTCTTGTCGATCCGACTGTCATCGCTTATGATCTGTTTTTCCCTGATGGGTCACCAGTTAGGGGGATTGACACTAAAATTATACTGCCGTGCTAAGGAAGAACGCCGTATGAGCCTTCAGGCGTTGCCAAATTTCCTGTGATTAAACACGACTTTCCCGGTAAACGTATGAAGATTTTTTTTCCAATTTTACAGCTAATTTTGTTCGCAATTTCACCCAAAGTTCCTGAAAATTTTGGGGGGAAATATCCATATAAATTTCCTCAAAAACAAACATTTTAGTGAAGGAAATTTGGCAACTCTCGAATGTTCATACGGCGTTTTTCCTTAGCACGGCAGTACAGTGAAGTCACCTGAGAAGGGCAAGAAACGAGGCGATGCCCCCCGTGTATACAATATGACTTCAAACTGGGGGCAATTTTACTCAATTTTAAAATATCAATGGTATTTTTTAATGCATCTCATATTCTGCCCCGAAAGGAAATTTTGCGTCCGTTTGCCAATTTTCGCCTCTTGAACTTTGGCTTTACATGATTATAAAATATAAAATACATTTCAAATTGTCGTTCTCGCGAAATTCGTTTATTTGACTCGAAATTTCCGGAGAAAGACAATACTATCAGTTGGGTTCGTGAATATTTTTAATACGCAAATTCTTTTCGAAAAATTTCTTTCTGATGGCGTCTTCCAAAGAGGAATCAATGAATGAGGCTGCGGACGAAAGCGCAGCGTGCTCACGAATCGTGAGTCGCGTAGATGGGGCGGAAAAATGCGGGTGGAACTCCACTTGATTCGTTTTGAATTTTTAAATTCAGGAAAAAGTCGATTAAAGTTAGTCAAATTATATTTTCTCTATACAAATGACGTACATTTGAAAAAGTTTAGTTAACCTATTTTCCTCTATTTTAGTCCGAACGCTACTTTCGGAAAGCCCGTTTCATTAAAGCTCATAGAATTCATACTCTTTGAAAAGGGTGTCTAGTTTTTTCTTCACATTGGGAATTTCTGATGAAATCCTGATTTTTGACTGCTAAATCCTGATTTCAAAATTTTTCCAAATCCTGATCAAATCCTGATTTTTCGCGCAGAAAAATTAAAATTCGATTAAAAAAATAGGAACGGACGGCTG